TGACCTGGGGGAGGGGGAGGGATTTGGGGCCGTGCAGCGGGGGCGCACTATAGCCCGGGGACTCGGGTTTCTACCCAGGGACTTAGCAGCTGTTTACTAGGCAGCGTGGTTTGCGCTTGGAGCTCCCTGCCTCAAGTTGCCCATCGCCAGAACAAGAAGAAGGATATTTATCCATCTTCGTAAAATGATGTGAATTGTCAGAAATTATTACTGCAACTCCGCTGGCCAGTTAAAATTGTAAGAGATTATTACTGCAACTCCGCTGGCCAGTTAAAAATCAAGGATGACAAATGCTGTGGCAGAGGACTGGGGAATTTGCCTATGCAGATGTGCCTATGCCACAACATGAACTTTGCTTTTTTATATTTATAGCAAACATCTTTCATCTAAGCATTTTACAAGCAATTCTCACAAAAGTCCTTCCCTATTGGGAAACTGAGGCCCAGACAGGCAGTGTGACTTGCTTAAAGTGAGAGCTGGGAGCAACACAGAAATGCTGACCTCGCGTTTCTCTGCTCTACCATTTGACAGCTCTCCAGCCACATGTTTTCATGCAAATTGTGTTCCTAACTATTTTATGGAATTAAATGGTGCCAGACAGTAGGCCACATATGAATGTATTTATTTTATTCTTTCAACAAAAGTGAGAGAGAGAGAATGTATTTTGTGTATTTAGTCATTTAATTTAATCTTACATAATTTTAACATTTTTATATGCAGTTTAACTATAGTTGCTTCTAAACTCTCTGTTAAAAGATTTGTTATCCTGTAATTATGTTTCACGTGTTAGCTATCATTCCTTCATCTGTATGACAGAAACTGTGTCCCAGTCCCTGACTACAGGTGGCACCTCTATAAACCGAAACTCTCTGGTCTGGCAACATCCGTGGTCTGGAGTCCCTGTATGAGGTGGGGGTGGGGACCAGGAGCCCTGCGCAATGTGGTGGGGGGAGAAGTGTACAGCTCAGGTAGCTGTGGACGTCCGGGAACTTGCACATGACTCAGCTGATCAGTGGGAGAGATAGGGAGTGAGAAGTTTGCAGGAGGGAGGGAGGCGGGGGGCGGAAGGGAGTTGGGAGGGGAGACAGGGCAGGAGGTGGAGCTGGCAGCAGGGGAGCCAGAAATGATCTCCCCTGGTCTGGCAAAATCCCTCATCTGGGACCAGTCAGGTCTCCAGGTTGCAGGACCAGGGAGGTCCAGGCTGTGTTTGGTAAAATTGTATCCCTTAGTTCTAGGGAGTTTTTCAGAAAGATGCAATATAATTTGTTTACTATTTTGACAACATTTAAATATTGAATTAGTACTAAATTAATCTTAAATTTTAAATTTTAACTACGTTGTTTTACAGGTAGTCATTCGCCGGCTTCCTCCTTGTCTAACCAAGGAGCAACTAGAAGAGCAGCTACATCCACTACCTGCACATGATTATTTTGAATTTTGTACTGCTGATCCCAGGTGAGGAGGTGCTGTTTATCTGCACTAAGAAGGAACGAGGTATTTTCTATGCGTTTGTAAGCAACCTACCTCACTAAGATACACTGGGCATAGTCGCATAACAAATTTATATTAGGGATGTAAGCAACTAGTCAACTATCTGATAAGAAAATGCTTATCAGGTAGTTGACTAGGAACTCAACTAGTCACTTCCCCTCCACTCACTTGCTGCCCCCCCGCCCCAAACACCATCTCATACTGGGTCAGACCAAAGGTCCGTCTAGCTCAGTATTCTGTCTGCTGACAGTGGCTAGTACCAGGTGCCCCAGAGGGGGTAGGCCGAAGACAATGATCAAGCAAATTGTTTCCTGCCATCCTTCTCCAGCCTTTGACAAACAGAGGCCAGGGGCATCATTCCTTATGCTCTGACTAATAGCCATTTATGGACCTAACTTCCATGAATTTATCTAGCTCTTTTTTAAACTCTGTTATAGTCCTAGCCTTCACAGCCTCCTCTGTGTGCTGTGTGAAGAAGAACTTTCTTTTATTAGTTGTAACCTGCTACCCATTAATTTCATTTGGGGTGTGTCTAAACTACAAGATTTTTTCAAAAAAAGTGGCCTTTTTTCGAAAAAACTTCCCCTACCTCTAGGCTGCTGCCGCGTTCTTTCGAAATTAAATCAAAAGAACGCAGCAGGTTTTTCGACCACAGTAAACCTCATTTTACCAGGAAGAACACCTTTTTTCGAAAGTACTCTTTCGAAAAAAGGCGTTCTTGAATGCAAACAGGGCTTTTTCAAAAGAGAGCATCCAGACTGCCGCTGCACACTGTGTGGACGTTTTCAGAGAACTATCCACGATAACTCCAAGATCTCTTTCCTGATTAGTTGTATCTAAATTAGCCCCCATCATATTGTATGTATAGTTGGGGTTATTTTTTCCAATGTGCATTACTTTATACTTTTCCACATTCAATTTCATTTGCTATTTTGTTGCCCAATCACTCAGTTTGGTGAGAGCTTTCTGAAGTTCTTCACAGTCTGCTTTGGTCTTGACTATCTTGAACAGTTTAGTATCGTCCACAAACTTAGCCACCTCACTGCTTACCCCTTTTTCTAGATCGTTTATAAATAAGTTGAATAGGATTGGTCCTAGGACTGACCCTTGGGGAACACCTCTAGTTACCCGTCTCCATTCTGAAAATTTACCATTTATTCATACCCTTTGTTTCCTGTCTTTTAACCAGTTTTCAATCCATGAAAGGATCTTCCCTCTTATCCCATGACAACCTAATTTACGCAAGAGCCTTTGGTGAGGGACCTTGTCAAAGACTTTCTGGAAATCTAAGTACACTATATCTACTGGATCCCCTTTGTCCACGTGTTTGTTAACCCCTCCAAAGAACTTGAATAGATTAGTAAGACATGATTTCCCTTTACAGAAACCATGTTGACTTTTGCCCAACAAATTATGTTCTTCTATGTGTCTGACAATTTTATTCTTTACTGTTGTTTCAACTCATTTGCCTGGTACTGACGTTAGACTTACTGGTCTGTAATTGCCAGGGTCACCACTAGAGACCTTTTTAAATATTGGCGTTATATTAATCAGTGGTCCCCAACATTTTGGGGCTGCCCAGGGCGGGGCCGCGCCTGCGCCCGGGGGTGGGGCCACCCATGCGCTGCGCACCTGGGGCCGGCACCACTCCTGTGCCACGTGCCCAGGGCTGGGGACGCCCATACACCGTGCGCCCAGGGCCGGCACAGCCCTTGCTCCATGCACCCAGGGGCGGGCCGCCCATGTGCTGTGTGCCCAGGGGTGGGGCCAGCCCCGATTACTCGGCGGGCGCACAGAAATGGCCCCGCGGGGGGCGCGGCGGCCTTTTAAGACACCCCACAGGTGACTGACTCCCTAACCTACTGGTCCCCAACCTTTTGGGGATGCCGGGCACAAGAAGACGGGGCCACTCACATGCCAGGCACCCAGGGGTGGGGCCGCGCACACGCCCAAGGTGGGGTCGCACACACACCAGGGAGGGACCACCCATGCGCCGCACTCCTGGGGCTGGCGCTACTCCTATGCCGCATGTCTAGGGCTGGCACAGCCCTTGAGCCATGCACCTGGGGGCGGGGCTGGCTCCGATCACTCGGCGGGCGCACAGAAATGGCCTGGCAGGCGCCATGGCGCCTCTGGGCACCGCGTTGGGGACCACTGCTGTTTTCCAGTCCTTGGGTACAGAAGCTGATTTAAAGGATAGGTTACAAACCACAGTTAATAGTTCCACAATTTCCCATTTGAGTTCTTTCAGAACCCTTGGGTGAATGCCATCCGGTCCTGGTGATTTGTTACTGTTAAGTTTTTCAGTTTGTTCCAAAACCTCCTCTAATGACACTTCAATCCGAGACAGTTCCTCAGATTCATCACCCACAAAGGATGGTGCAGGTTTGGGAATCTCCCTAACATCCTCAGCCGTGAAGACTGAAGCAAAGAAATCATTTAGTCTCTCCACAATGGCTTCATCATCCTTGATTGCTCCTTTCATATCTCGATCATCCAGGAGCCCCACTGTTTTTTTAGCAGGCTTCCTGCTTCTAATGTACTTAAAAAACATTTTGCTATTATTTTTTGAGTTTTTGGCTAGCTGTTCCTCTACATCTTTTTTGGCTTTTCTGATTACATTTTTACACTTAATTTGGCAGTGTGTATGTTCCTTTCTATTAACCTCACTTGGATTGCTCGCACCGGTCTGACTGCTGTTCCTCTCCCTTTAAAATGTACAAGAGATGCCGGTGGCTCTTGTACATTTCAAAGGAAAAGGCACAGAGGGGAACCCGCACCAGCTTGGATTGTTTTGCTCTTGGGGCAGGTCCCTGCCTCCTCTCTCCCTGTAAAATATACAAGAGCTGTGGGTGGCTCTTGTACATTTCACAGGGAGAGGCACAGTGGGATAACAAGTGCCCCCCTTATTGACTAATCATTTGGGGAACAGCCCTGACAGCAGGATAGCTAATATTGGTACAGTAACTGCTTTATTGTTTCTCTGTTCTCCTAGCAACTGGAATGGCCCACATAAAGAGGAACGTTGTCTGTAGCTGAGTGCCTGGCCAACCTCAGAGGAGAGAGGAAGAGGAAGAGGGAGGAGATTTTTGCTGACCTCATTAATAGGTTCCAGCAGAAAGCAAAAAACCCAAAGGATTGGAGGCGGGGGTGGGGGGCACACTTCCATGACAGCAGCCCCAAGAGTTGATTTTACCAACATTGAGCTAATTAGTTATCGACCAGTAGCAACTGGATTTCCAGACAGCAGTGGCTACATACTTCTCTACACTTAGAGGAATTGTCATATTATTTATTTGGCACTGGTGATCTTAGGTGAAGTCTGTGTAGGTTGCAGGGAACTGACCTTCCACTTCTGGTTATATCAAGACTGCAGCTAGTGCTGGCTGGCCAAGTCCAGAAACGGTGCTCTATTGAGTGAACCAATCCAGTAAAATGTACCGTATTTTCCGGCGTATAGGGCGACTGGGCGTATAAGACGACCCCCTATCTTTTTAATTAAAAGATAGGGTTTCATCTTATACCCCAGCGCCCCTCCGCCTCCTTTGCTCCCGGTGTCCCTGGTCTGCTGGAGATGGTCCC